ATTTGTTCTCAAATCTGGAACGAAAAGAACATTAGAGATAGTCTGAACATAGTTTCCCTTGGTTTGGATTGTTACCTTCTCTTTGCCCATAACAGACTTTAGAATTGTCACCAAACTTCATACTATCACGAAAGGATTCATCCAAATAAGAGAACGTAGATTTGTCTCCACATGTGATTGCTGCATCTTGTGTCTAAGTACCACAAATTGTTGTGGGTTTCCTCCTTGGCATGACAAACCATCAATAAAGACACTTCTTCCTTCTCTGCAAAGTTAGATTTTTCTCCACAATTTAAATTCGTACGACACTCAGAACGATAATGGCCATACCTATGAGATTTGAAGCACTCAACATTGGATTTGTCTTTCGACTTTGGCCTATTGACAGTTGAATGATCCCTCCTCGACCTCTTCCTCTCCCTTGAGAATCATGGAATTGATTATCTTCGGAGGTCTAGTACGGGCTTTTGCGATCCTTGTTTACCCTGCCTCTACCTCTTTCTTTATTTGGTGTAGAAGAATGGTTGTTAGTTGAGGCCTTCAATGCTTGCTTATCTTTCTCCTGCTGGTTAATTTTCTGCTCATGAACCAGTAACAAGCCTTGTAATTCTTCAATTGAAAGTTCATCAATATCATTAAATTCCTCTATAGCACAAACAAAAAATTGAATTTTGGTGTCATGGATCGAAGAATTTTCTCAATGATGGTAACATCCTCCGTCTTGTCTCTGTGGATCCGCATCTTGTTGACAATTACCATTGTCCAAGAAAAGCAACGAACTCTCCTGATTTCATTCAAAAGCATTTCGAACTCAAACCAAAAAGTTTGAAGCTTCTGCCTCTTTGCCCTTGCTGATCCTTGATATTTTATCTTCATAGAGTCCCAAATTTGCTTGGAGTTGTCTTTGCAAATGATTGTCTCCAATATAGAACGATCAATTGCTTGGAAAAGGTAGTTCTTCGTCTTCAAATTCTTCAGCTTCAGTGCCTCTAACTCTGTCCTCTGCACATCCGTCAACATTGTACCGGCTGCTGGTTCTGCTACCCCAGAAACAATCACCTGCCGATACTCTTTAGAGCGCATGAAATTTTCCATTAGCATGCTCCAATGGTCATAGTGACCATCAAAGCGTGGAATAGCTGGTTGCACAAAGTTTTCCGAGGCCATGAATGAACTGCTACTGCAATAAATGGAGTTGTTACTGCTGCACTTTCACTCTCGGTGGCTTGGATACCATTGTCACAAATTGAAGACTAAAAACAAAAAGGCACTTTTAATAAAGGTCAAAAACAGAGACTTTTTACTGTGTCTCTTATTCAATTAACTAATAGCCTTTTTAAGTAGGCAATACATCAAGGAAAAATGGACTAAAAAATAGCAACGACTTTGACCACTAACTCATGATTTGGAAACACTACTAAAATGCCTAAAGACTAGGTTTGCACAACTGAATTCTAAGAACCCACGTGGAGGACTACTTTGACAAATTCATAACACATTCCTCCATCTCATACTTTCACTCTCACTCACAGTAACCAATTTTCTTCTAGAATTGAAAAATTGCTTTCAACCCCTCACTCACGACGGCAAGGGAACAGCAAAGGCAAATTTCCCTGCATCTTCACTCTAAAGAAGATCCAAATCCTAAATCTTCGGCCGTACTCGTGGGCGACTCCACCACCAGTATCCTTCATCCTCTCTTATCTCTTACCAAAGAAACGCATTTTGTTGTTCAAAGTTTGCTTCTTTTCATTGTGTTTATAGAAGTGCAGTAACACCCGTATAAAGGGAATGTTATATGGAATTTGTTAAAGTTAATTGCATTTAATCTTGTTAGAAGCATTTGTTTTAATCTTTTCACCTAATTGGTAGTAGTAATGAAGTTACGCTCACTTTAGTTTCTTGGAATTGGATTTTTATATCAGAAATAATGCCTCCTGTGGATTGTGTTTCTTTGCAGTAGTTGTTTGAAAATCACTTTCTTAATTATGCTGGTACGTTTGTTGGTGTGAATTTGTTATCAGTTTTATTGTGCATGTGCTTTCTAAAACAATGCTAAGATTTACCAAGAACGAACAATTGTTCTGACTTTTGAAAGAGATTATCTTCTGAATGAGGTGGTAGATAATTGTTTTGGAATTGCAACAGACAAAAGTGGTTGTCATAATTTCATATTCTTATAGCTTTTTAAATCTCATTTGTGGTTTACTTTTTCTTGGCTGTGGTCAGAAATTAACATGATTCTAAAATTTTGTTTTTCTCTAGTAACTATGTGGTGCAACATGTACCGAGATTGAGGATACCACAAGTAATTGCAGATCTTCTGAGATGATTTGAAGGGCATTAAATGCATCTCCCCTTTAACAAGTATGGCAGTAATGTTGTAGAGAGGTGCTTGATAGAATCAGCCAAACAACAGTTATTAAATGGTTTGGTTTGGCTCAGTGATTTTAGGGTTAGATCATTCGCTTCTAGATAGAGAGTGGTTAGCCACGAGGGATATTAGTAAGAAAGAGAGAAAATAGATTATAAAATCACAAGAAACAAAATCCCCTTAAAAATAATGTGAACATAAGAGAATGGTATAGCTCAGAAAATCCAAAAATGACACCTAAACAAAGTAGCAAGAAACTTAAAATCATTCACATTCTTTGTCATCCAACTTTGGAACTTACCACTTCTTCATACATTTCTCTAAATTAATTGCTTTACTTTCTTAGCTTGGACTTGGTGGTTGGTAGTATAAATGCATTTTGTTTTGTTTTATTGGGACTCTTCATTAGAGGGTAAAGATCTTTACTCCACCTGGTGTATTGGGATAATAACAATGTCATCCCTAATATGGTAAAGATCTTTTCTGGTCCTCTGTCATTCTGTAAATAACATTTTAGCCCCTCAAGTTTGCAAATGACAAAGACTAAAATGCTATTGTCACTTGTCTGTCAGGGACGACAACGTTATTAAAAAATTCTACAAGATTAAAGTTTACTTACAGTAGTGGTGGAAAAGTGGCCCACCGACCCGGCCCAACCTATGGCTGGTTAGGGCAAATTGTGGGTCAGGTTAGGCCCACATCTTTGTTCAAAAGGGTCAGCCAGACCCAGCCCACCAACCCTAACCTGATGGGTTTTTGTGCAGGCCGACCGGCAAAAATTTATTTTTTAATTTTTTAACTTTTTTCTCTTGTATAATTTTTTTTTAGTTAACTTTTCAAATATCAATTCAATTAAAATAATTTTTTTTTAGTTAACATTTCAAATATTAATTCAATTTTAATACAATTAAATTGTAATATAAGAAAAATTAGATTTATTCATTTATCAAAAAATAAAATAAGAAATTACAACAATTATTACCTCGTTAAAAACCTTACCAAGAAAAACCCAATTGAGACAAAAACTTGGTAAGGAAAAACAAAGTACAATAATTGACAGTTAATTTACAAATTACAAAGTTACAATTTACAAAACAACTAATTTGAAGGTTGACTAAGACCCCCTCATCTATATCATCTAAATTACAAAATTGAAATGATTCTATTAAAGTATCGTTGACAACCTCGTATTGATCCTGATGGCGCGATCATTCCTAATCTCGAAGACATGTGAGGACTTCAATCAATTTTGGTAAAAGTTTAGTCCTCATTTTATTTAAAAATTTTCACTTGCACTAAATGTTTGTTCGGATGAGACAGTAGAGACAGGAACAGAGAAAACATCCAGGGCAAGTCTTGATAGTACTGAAAAGTAAATTTTCTGGTTTTCCAATATTCTAAGACATCAAAGTTGACTCTTTGTTATAGATCTGCTGGTAGCAAGTTAGGAGTTCCCAAATATTAGTGAAGCTCATTACTCTGCAGCTGCATGGAGGACATTATATTCGTTGTTGATGCTTCTGAAGAGGAGGTTATGCTTCGAGTTCGGGTTTTTTTCCGCCTATTAATTTCTCTCTAGGAGTTGAAGTCACTACAATAAAAATGACTTACGGTAACATGCAAAAAGTGTTATCGTAGGTGATTCGTAGCATTTATAAGGATGCTATGACAGCCCATGTTACTAAAAAACAGACATTGGTAACATTTTTTGCATGTTACTAATCATTTCAATAACTGTCATAAAATGATGTTGTTAAGTATATTGTAGCACTTATTCGTAGTTACGAATGATTTTTGGTAACACTGCATAAATGCTATAAATAAGTTTTCTGTAACTTTCTTAATTTGTTATATTTTATTTTTTTGTAACATTCTCAAAATGCTATAAATAAGTTTTTTGTAACATTCTTAACCTGTTACAGTTTAGTTTTCTGTAACAATCTCAAAATGCTATAAATAAGTTTTCTGTAACTTTCTTAACATGTTACAGTTTAATTTTCTGTAACATTCTCAAAATGCTATAAATAAGTTTTCTGTAACATTTTTAACCTGTTACAGTTTAGTTTTCTATAACATTTTCAAAATGCTATAAATAAGTTTTCTGTAACTTTCTTAACATGTTACAGTTTAATTTTCTGTAACATTCTCAAAATGCTATAAATAAGTTTTCTGTAACTTTCTCAACATGTTACAGTTTAGTTTTCTATAACATCTCAAATTGCTATAAATAAGTTTTTTGTAACATTCTTAACTGGTTACAATTTAGTTTTCTGTAACATTGTTAAAATGCTACAGAAGAGTTTTTAATAACATGTTAAAAGTGCTACCAAAGTATCATTCATTGCATTTAGTAAATTTTACAAACTTATTTTCCATAATATTTTGAAAGTGTTATCAATGTGTATGTTATAACATATATAAAATTGTTACAGTTGTAATTTAAATAATACAAATTATAATCAATGATACACTAATTTTCCAAAAAACATTTCATTGATGGTGAACCTTCATATACAAAAAGTTTGCATATATGCCTAATAAATAGGCACCCAACATCCTTTTCATCCATAAAATTTAATATGCTTCATTTATTATATTATATTTTGTAACATATAAATCTTCATATACAAAAAGTTTTATATATGCCTAACAAATATGCACCTATCATTTTTACATTATAATACCTAGATGATTGGAAAATTAACTATGAGCAATAGTTAATACCTTCCAATCATTCAAACAATTCTAACAACAAAAACCATCATGCAAACCATCTTCCATTCCAAATTGTGCTTTACCAAAAAAGTACTCTTGCATTTTCACAACCTACAAAACCATTAATACAAAAAAAAAAAAAAAATCTTCAAATCCCATGTATATTCTCAAAGATAACAACACATATATATTGTAAATTCAAGAAAAAATAAAGACAAAAGCACCCCAAATATTTAATGGAAAACAAAGAGGAAAAGAACATGCTTAAATCTCCACCTTCACAAGCATACTATGATAACAAAACATACTATGATAATAGTTCCAGCAGAAAAACCTAAAGCCTTTAATGAAATATTGTCAACATAGGCACAAAAAATGGTCATGAGAAATACATATTTTATGGTATTAAACAAGAAACAAACCTAAAGCCTCATTAATGATATGCTGTCATCATTGACACAAACAATGGTACAAATTACAAAGTTAATCACGTTTCTCCACCAGCAAAGTCTCATTTATCAAACCCCAGATTCAGAGGCTCATCAAATTTTAGTTCTAGTGAATAAGTTATTACAAAATCATTCCTAGCCAATGAAAGAGTATAAAGCAAAAAACTTTTCCATCTTTAGAAACTGTGGTTACTTCACTACATACTGCAAGATGACCAAAGTTAGAACCATACAAGGAAACTTAAGGATTATTGTGGCAAGAGAATTGCAGACTGCAGTATGCAGTTTTGCAGACTGCAATATGAAAAAAACTGCAATCTGCAAAACTGCATACTGCAGTTTGCAAACTGCAAAATGCAAAATTGCAGACTGCAGCATGCAAAATTGTATTCCACCTCTAATCTCATTGCAACAATTATAACATGATTATTTGCTCGTCCGTTACTAATCATATGAAACAGAGTTTTATGAATCATCTTTATGATTAAGTTATTGAAATAACAGTCACCTAATCAATATTATTCCACCTCTAATCTTGCTTTTCAATTTTTTAATCAACAATTAAACTGGTATTGAACCTTATATGATTATGTTGAATGAGAGAAAATGCCAAACCCACAAGAAAAGAAATGCATAATGTTTTTGTGGACCTGGGGACTTGTGTTTTTGAGACTATGCCGGAAAGGAATATTGTTAATTACAATACAGTAATTAGGGGCCTTCAAAATGTTTGAGGAGATAATAGTTGAAGGATTAAAACCTAATGAATCTACTTTTCTGCTCTCTTTTGTGCTTGCTGCCATTGTGGCCTTGTTAATAATGGCTTGAAAAGTTTTGAATCAGGCACAAGACAATAAGCAGATCACAAAGTTCAGACATATTTTGTGACATGTGTGAAAGAAGTATCTACTCAGATTTTGCTATAGATGGCATGAGATCAGTTGATGTCTAAGATAACAAGAGAAAGAGAGAGCTTATACCTCTTTTTTGAATTCTACAAGTGATTCACCAGAAATATCTTGGTCTAGGAACCTCTTCACCGCAACTTCCTATGAAATCAAAGAGCAGCAACAAGTTCAAAAAAATGTACCTTCCAAGAACAAGGATTATCATACGTCAATTTGGAGGAAAAAACTCAGCATAGGTTTAAACATTTAATTTCTACCACACAAACCATCTCACGAGTCATGACATGTACCAAAAAAACAATTGATCCAAAACTATGCATTGTCTTATTAAGACATTGCTGATCATTTCTTGAGCCGCAAAATACTTATACCTATTCCAAGGACAAGAACATTGTGCAGTAGTATTTCCAGGGATGAATTTTCCAGAACCATAGTTTAAAAAACTAACACGAAAAAAGTAGACCCTAATTTTAGAACTTGGTGAACATTTAAGAAAAATAGGGTGATTTTTGGTAATGAGATATATAATAATGATAATATACTATAAAACTTTGGAAAATCGGGTACTTAAGGTTTATTTGTCAGTTAGACAATCCTTCATATCTTAGAATAATTTATATAAATTTTGATCCAATTTATTGTATATTGTTTATATTGAGATATTCCACTCATCATCAACCTTTATATCCAATAAATGCAGTCTGCAGTTTTGTAAGCTGCAGTTTGCAAACTACAGCTTCCAAAACTGTAGACTGCATTTTTGCTCTGCATTTTTTAGTAAGAGCAAACTGCATTTTGGAAAGTTAAGTGCTTTTGGGAAAGCAAGCTTTTTGCTTTGTGCTTTTGGGAAATCCCACATGTTTAACACAAAATCTTAGATTTCTAAGCTTGCAAAACTACAGACTGCAAAGTTAATGATTATATCTTGGTGGGTCATTCATCACTTTGCAAATTACTTTTAATGTAATCTGGTCAATTTATCTTTGTTATTGTTGTTTTATATGCTGTAACTGCTCACTTTCTTTTCTTTTGATAGTATGTGTTACATTTATGAGGATACTTAGATCAGCTTCCCAAAGGACATGGAGCTCCTCTTAAAATCTGGATGATTCCTTAGCCTTGTGCTTTATGCCTATACCTCAAATTAATGTGGAAAAAGAGAAAGAACAGATAACTAATATTGTATAGTGTTAGTATATTATTAGACTTCAAGCGACTTGGGCTTTTTACAATTTATTCACTGGCTCAATGAACTAAATTCCTATGGAGATAGTATTTGTATGATGTTGCTGATCTTTTCTGGTAAGGAAGGCTGTTAGATTGACAATTATGAACTTGCAAATGAGTCTGCAGTTTTGCAAGCTTAGAAATCTAAGATTTTGTGTTAAACATGTTGGATTTCCCAAAAGCACAGAGCAAAAAGCTTGCTTTCCCAAAAGCACTTAACTTTCCAAAACAGAAAGTAGAAAAGAGCACCACAATGAGTCATAGCACTAAGTTTAGTTCAATGTTAAGTAAAACAACTTTCAGCACCCAAAAGAATAAATCAATCTTATTAAGCACCACAATGATTCATTCAAACAGTTCAATCATTATAGAAATCAAATCATTGAATTGCCTGAACCGTAGCTTAGCAAAAATTCAGAGAAAAAATGCAAAGCAAAAATGCAAGAAAATGATTCACCTGAACCGTAGCTCACTGATTTTCCTCTTAAAGGATGAGAGCCCATTTAGGTTCAATAGGTTATGGGTATTGGAGATTTTAAGCTAAAATTTTGATGAAACCAATGATTTTCACTAGATTTTTACTGAATGAAGATGATTAGTGTAGGGTATTTTGTTTGAATGAGTATGGATAGTGTGAAAATGCTTAATTGTAGGGTGGCTTCATGGACATAACGAAAATTGTGTTGAATGAAGCTTGGAGTTGAAATTTTAGTAAAGAACAAACTTGAAAAAGTGTCATGAATTGGAGAAATGAGTGAATAAGGTCTTTGGTATGTTTTTTTTTTTGGGGGGGGGGGGGGGGGGGGGGTAGAGAGAGAGAAATTTTTTCCAAAGTTTGGGAAAATAAAATTTGTTATTATATTTTGATTTAGTAACACTTTTAAGTGTTACAATATTTTAATTTAATGAAATCAATGGGTGCGTTTGGTTAAATATTTCTACCCATATTTCCAATCTTATTCCCCAAATATTGTTTGGCACATTATTCCAGAAATATTAGTGTATTTTTTCATTGCTTTTAGACCCCTTAAGTTTATTAATTTCACTAAATATACCCAAAAAAAGTTTAAAAATTAGCAAAAACACCCTCACCCACTCATACTTGCCAGATTCCAGCAACCACCATCGGTGGTAGCCGGAATCTGTCACAACGGCTTACACCAAGCCCGGAACTTGCCATTATTCACCGATTTGGCCGTGGCAAAGAAATGGCCGTCGTTGATGGTCAACGATGGCCATATCTTTGGTCGTCACTAACGGCCAAAGATAGACTTTTGCGGCCGTCGACGGCCACATTTGGCCGTAGATCTGGCCGGATCGATGTGTTACGACACAGATCTGATCGGTCTATGTCGTAACACAATTTTCCGGCTAGATTCTGGCGGTGGTGGCGGAATCTAGCACTGTGGGTGGTGGGGGTGTTTTTGTCATTTTACATATTGGGGTGTTTAATTAAATTAGCAAAGCTTGGGGTTTTTTTTATAAATTTTTAAATTTTACCTTGTAATACTCCCCTATCCAACAACCCAAAAGTATTATCAAAATCTTATCCAAAATAATGAACCAAATGCACCAATTATTATTTCAATACACGCAAATTGCCTATGGGCCAGGATGCGCTGCCCCCTGCACCCCTACCCATCGACCGGGCAACAAGAGTCCCGAATGCGTATGTGTGACCCCTTGTTGTTGAAGTGATGGACAACTCCAACACTTGGGAGACGAAACGACACCAAAAAGTGACGAAATCACACTGAGAATTAAGGTGAAGAGTCAAGACAGTGAAATGGCTTTTTCAAGTGAGATTTCGAGTCAACCAAGCTTACGGAAAGTGGATCTGACTTTAGGACTGGAGTATGGACCTACCCCTAGGATGTCTAGAAGTTGCCAAAAAACTAAGAAATTAAAGTCATCGAGAAGATGAATGGTCACAGATGGAGGAAGCTTAATGGTCGTTGGAATCCAGGAAGGTCTTACGTGATGATGGCCAGCCATTGGAGAAGGAAAATGCTCATCAAAGGTGGAAGTTGGACGGTCTCTAAAAAATGGATGAAGATGGGTGGACGTTTTTGGCTTTGCATTTAACCTTCCATCTTCCTTTTATACTATTTGTAAAAACATCTGTTTGGTCCCCACATGAATGAGATGTAACACAGTAAAGCCCAAATAGTAAATTTGACCCCTAAACAATAAAAATGAGACAAAATCAACCTCATTTCATATTAGCGGGAAAAATATTTTGTTTTGCGGTAAATAATTGGGTTTATGGTAACACTTATAAAATGTTACTGTATTTTGATTATATGGTAACATTATAAAAAAAGTTACTATATTATTAGGTTTATTGTAACACTTTAAAAATGCTACTGTAGATATATTTTTCATAACATTTAAGAAGAAAAGTTACCATTGATATAAAATGTGTTACAAAAGTTAAAGTGTTACATATAAAAATTATTATCGTAACATTTTAACATCGAGTATTACTATAGATAGTCTACGGTAACACTTTAAGGAAAAGTGCTACTGTCCAGTGTTACCGTAGGCCATTTTTGTTGTAGTGAGTCTTCATTTGTGTCTTCTCTGGTTCTTCCTCAGGTATTGTGCCTCTTTGCTGGTTCTCATATCTATTTTCATATTGTAAATATACCTCTCAAAGACACTCTCTTATCTGTCCTAGCTGATTAGCATATGTTTCTTCTTGTAAATTTTCACTTAACATGTCTAAAACATTTTCTAAATCTGCTAATTTAAGCTTATGATCAAATATGATAGCTAAACAATAAAGAAAAGGAATGAGTTTCCAATATTTTTCAAATTTAAATTTCATTACTTCTATTGGTCCTACTAAAATTTAATTGCTTCTGTTTCGAGCAAATAAATTTGAAATTTTTTAAATTGAATGTATTATCAATGGATTAGTAGGATAATAAATACCATAAAGTTTTACAGTGACAAGATAAAAGGTTTAAAGAAAAGAATGAATTTTTTTAGTTATATGTCAATCACTCTCTACCAAAAAATGAAATTTTTGAGCTAGGATAATTTTCTTCACCATCAAAATTGATGGTGGCCTAGGATGGAAATATCTATACATTCTAGTTAAAAAAAAAAAAATTGATATAAAAGAATTAAAGAAGGAGAATTGAAATTTGGAAATATGAACTGAAAATTGTAAAAACTAATAAAAATTAAAATGAGAGCAAATTGACGTCAAAGAGATTTGAGAAATTTTTAAAGCAAGAGCAAAAGAAAATGAAAGAATTTGGGATGTGAGGAAATATGAGAAGTTTAGACCCTATTTATAGAGAAAAATGGGAAAAGAAAATTATCAAAAAAACCCCTCCAACTACTATAAAACGGTTATATTTAAACGATAAAATAGGTTTTTGCAAAGCAACCCACCCAATAGCCAACCTGTCAAGTTTCCAACCGCCAACCTGACAGGTTGAACAGTTTTTTTTTTTTTTTTTTTAAAATGACATGTTGGGTCGTCGAGTTGGCCTATGAAGGCCCAACCAACCTGATGGGGATACTTGGGTCAGGCTAAACCTGGTACACCCTTAAGTCGGACCGGGTAGAGCCCAGGTCGAGGCGGGTCAGGTTAGGGCTGACCCGCCTAACTCGGCCCATTTTTTTCACCTCTAACTTCCACCAAACCTTAAGGATGAAATTTTATTTTTTCCTATTTTTTTATCTCAATTTTTGTCGAATAATATTAGGTTCACAAACTCTTTTATACAAACTAATGTTACACAAAATGAATAGATGAATTTATATACAAAACCAACTCAATTAATGTTAATTTAGATAGATAAATGATGTTGCAATAAAATAGTTGTGTTACATTTACATCTGTTTCTATACAATAATTTGTAAACATAATTTATACACGTACCACTACTTTTTTTTTTNTCAGAACCGATGACACGATTGGTTCCTAGGGCATACACTAACAGAAAAGTTATAAATGGTAAGAGAACACAACATTTTAATTGAAGATATTGTATTTAAGACGATGGAAATCCTATTAAATCTCTATAATAAATTAAATTGACCAAAGATTGCAAAATTCGGTTGTTTCTTTCCTCTCTAATATGTGCTTACCTGAGCCCTGTTGCATGTAGATGATAACTCAAAAACGAAGGGTGAGTAGTCCGGGTACCCAACCCAATTCCAAGAAACTGGAATCAAAACCAAAATTGATCCGTTTCTTGGATTTGGAACCAAATCCGAAACCGAACGATCCAGGTTTTGGGTAACCTGTAAATTTTTATACCCCCTTGATAGTCTTAAAATGACAAATATACCCCTAAAAATTACAATACACCGCTAATAATTTATAAAAATTACAAATACAACCTGAGTACTCGTTGGTTCCACCTCGAGTACCTAGACCTTGGTTTCAGGTCCGATTCCTGAAGTGTGTAACCAGACCCGGACCACACAGGGTCGGTTTCACAAAATTTGGAACCGAAACCAACCTTATGTGGGCCAGTTTCGGTTCTACCCTTTACCTATGCTCACCCCTAAAAATAATCTCTTTATCTTTAACACACGCATACAAATAATTATGATTTACTTCTACAAAATTAAACAAATGGAACGTTTTAAAAGAGGACTTTCTTAATTTAAAACGAAGGAACAAATGTTGATTTGATATTTTGCAAGTGAAAGTTTTAGGGAAGGTAAAGAATAAGAAAAAACTCATTTTAGACGAGAGAATCAACAAAATTCAAATTATTAAGCCAACATTTATAAAATTCTTTTGAATTAACTGATGTATTAAAACATACACATCACCATAATCCAAACTAGAGCCAAAGAATTAACTGCACCATATCATTGCTAACGGACATATGTGGGATGGCCATTTTATAAATTGTGTATAATCTAAAAACTATAACTTTAGGGGATTTGGTTGAAGGTAATAGGAGATTACTGGGGTTATATCATCTTATGTTACTTGATTACCATGTTTGGTTGTCAAATAATATAAGATATTGGTAATCTTACATTACCAATAGTTGTTACTGTTGGTAATATTAGAGGTAATCTGATTACCTCCATTTTCTTAAGTATTGAAAGATTACCTTGGTAATCTTATTTTTATTACAATTATATCCCTTATTAATAAAAAATTTGGACAATAATGCCCCTGTTTTAAAATAAATTTACATTAATATACCATTTCAATTTTACCCTTGTTTAATTAAGTTTTTGGAAAATAATGCCCTTATATTTGAAACAAATTACAGACCATCACCATCACCGCCACCTAACCACCACTGCCGACAGCGGGCCAACCACCACGGACTATAGTTAGAAAGTCGTCGAAGTCCTTAAAAATGATCGAGATTCGCTAGGAGGCTTTGATATGGCCTTTTCCGGCCATATCAGGCCAGATCTGGGCGACATCTAGCCGCTAATGATCAGGGATCTGGTCGAAAATGGCCAGAATAGATCTGGCCTGATATGGCCGTTTTCGACCATCAATAT